AGTTCACTTCTCGATCGGTTTGCATTTGTCCGCGTGCCAGCTCGTCCCTGGTAAAAAAAGTTGAGCCGCAGTGTGCCTCGAATTTGGTACCTTAACTTAACTTAATATCGACCGGTCGACACGTCGACGCTGGCAAGTGTTGCGAGGTTCGCCGCTCTCGAAACACGCATGGATCTCTGCGCATGGTGCAAACGATATATATATATATTGCTAAAGAAAAGGAAGTCGTCTCGTCAGGAGTGTGTCCCTTTTTTCGTACAGAAAGACATGATAGATTCGACGGAAATTAAAATTACCGTTTGGGTTGTACAGGTTGTGTCGGCAATTATACGTACGTACGCGCAAAGAAACGACAAATATTCACAATTATTCTACAAAATGTACAGGTTTCCGCTTTCCCAGACTCATTTACCCGTCATTCGGTGACACGGCTCGAACATTTACAATGTACTTTTAAGAAGTCGGTTATTGCTGTTTCACTCGGGATTGTTCAGGATATGTTGCTGATCGTTATTATAATTTATAAATGCAAACAGAGAAAATGTAAATAAAAATGAGAAAGGAAAGTTCGTTGTGAAAGAATTTACAATGCATATCCATCGACGAGAGAGAATTTGTAGATTGAGTATGGTGCAACTACTTGAGCCTCTTAGGTTCATAAAAATTCTTAGAGAAGATTGTTTTTTCGAGAACGATCTCGTGGAATGAGAATGAGGAACTTCTACTTTTTACTCGATCGATTCTACAATTTCACGTTATCAGCTCCATCTTTTCTCGCAATTAAATACGCTCCGTCAAGTGGGAAATAAAATCGTAACGCGTATTTTCTCGATAAATCTGACGCATTTTGCTAATCTTCTGCAAGATTAGGGTGACGAAAGTGTCGACACGCCTAGTGTCTTTTGGCGATATCTTTTGTGAAGACAAGGTCTGTTTTCATAAATAGTTTACTACGTACGAAAGTAAACAAGCACAGTAGCAACTTTCAATGATAAATTATACAGTAATAATGCAAAGAGTCGAGCAAGTAATTATGGTAATTAATCTGCATATAATGGCGGAATATTATTAGAAAAATTACGAAATATTTTACGAGTGTTGTGTACAAAAAAATGTACAAAAAAAAAAAAATTCAAAGATATGATCAATAATTTTTAGATTCTCAAATTTTTATATTACACTTGTATCGTTATTGTATAACTCATTATTGGGAATTGCTACAGCGCACATCATACTTTTCTACGCGGCGAACTATATATTCATATATTTCATCAAAGATGTCGTCAAAAAACCATGTGTGCCACTAATATTTTAACCATACTTCTTCTACACCTTACGAACATCTTTCGTTTTGAAATTAGATAAAAATACGCACACGCACATACACGGTAATAAAAAAATTTCTGTCCAACGAAGGTTTGACCTTACGACAAAACAACTCGTCGATGTTTCATTCATTTCATTTCGACCACAAGTGTGAGAGATGTTCTTCGTATCGTTAAGGTGATTATTTTGTATATAAATTTTACTACATTCTCGTAATACCTAATAAAAAGGAGACGAAACTTTTCTACAGAGAATGAAATTTTCCACTGATGTAAGGTATCGATCTGCGTCCGGTTTGGTGTCGCGCTTAGGTCAAGCGAATGGAGAAAGAATTGAATCGTTGAATCACGCTGAAACTCGAGCACACCGTGATAGTCGATTTCACTAACATTTAGACGCACACGATAATTCAATTTCAACGAAGAAAACTGAGCTCTCACTGACTTTTACAACCCACGTTTCTACTGCCTGATGTTAATAAACGAATGGACCACGCGTTATGTGTTCGACGATATTCCTCGATGTTCCGGAAATGAACGTGACAGGTATGTTCACTCTCTCAACGTGCCTATTATGTACTTTAAAGAGATGCCTTTCGAGACATTTTCGAGGATATATTTTACATATGAGACAAATGAAACTTTTCGTCTACGAGAAACAAACTCTAAACTACTCTAACTTAATTTTATAGGGTTTGTCAATTTCTTCTTGCAAAGCCAATCTCCAAGGAATCGAGGGTCGTTCCGATCTCTCGCGAGATTTATTCCTGCGACAACCGCACTCCCTCTCTCGTCTTTTCTCTTTTTTTTTTTTTCTTTTTTGCCACTGCACACACACACACACACACACACACTCAACTCATTGTCAGTTACTCAACGATAAACCGTTCGTCCTTCTGCCAGTAACGCCAGTCCGTCGAATACTTAGTGTCTCTGTTTAGAAAACTACTTGGCGGGGGGCGAAAATCGACGATAGGAAAATGGGAGAAACGAAATGCTGTGAGAACTACGATGGAGGACGGTGAGACGACGAAACAAGGAGAACCTATCGACCTGTTCGAGAAACTCGCGTCTCGTCACGGAAGGATAAAATCATCTTTCGATACGAACAAGTTGACATTTGCTCATCTCTCTTTCCATTAAGTTGATCCGCGAGATTAAACAAACAAGTTGCGACAAACTATTTGAGATTTGTCGGGGAGATCCCGATTGTGTTTCTCGATGGTCTGTAGGCTCGCGGGAAACGTAATATATCACAAACATATCGCCGGGGGAAACGATACGCAAGACGACGAATCCTGGTAGGACAATTATACAGAGAATGCCCGGTACCGGTCGCGGCGCGTTTACGAGCGGCACCGGAACACCGAAATACACGACTTAGTTACTTACAATATTCGTACAAGTGCTTAAATACTACTGCCCCGTGGCCGATCTGCCCGTGCTCGATCCGACCGGGAGGGGAGGGGCCTCTTCACCTAACCGATAAATTGACTATTAATATTTCCGTAGAGAATTTTACAAATCAGTCGGTGACACGTGCGTCGAGCCGACGCTCGCTATCCTTCGACTATCGTCGCAGCATCGGCGATTTCTTTTCCTCTTTGTCACGTTCACCCGCGAAACGATGAAACTCCGCTGCTGCTGCGACGTAGGAAGCACATTTCGCGTCGTTTCCTCTTTCGCGCGCTCGCCCGACTGTTCGTTCCTCTCTTATCTAATCTCTCCTCTCTCCGTTTCTCATTTTATCCTTCTTCTTCTTTTTTTTTTCTTTTTTTTTTTTGGAGGGGGGGGGGGAGTTTTCCTCCATCGATCCCTTTCGCTGACCGGCCTCAGAATCGCAACAGGCAGAAAATAAATGTCAACGCTACGCCGGGACTGTGAATCGCGAGCATTTCAACAATTTTTCGACAACCGGCCTTCGTATCTCGCGTCAATCGATTACGCGATTATTCCTTTCCCTCCTGTTTTCTCTTCTTTTTTTTAAATTTTTTTCTTTTTTCTTTTTTTTGGTTTTTAATCTTCGCTTCTGTGGCGGCGCCTTTGCGATCGTGTATGCGATCCGTTTCGTTTGTATATAATATATATGTACACACAGACACACACGTGTGTGTATATATATTTATATTCATATATCGCTATCGCAATATTAATTAATAATAATTACATACGCGCGCGGTGATTCTCAATTTGTTCTCGCGCCATGTTTGTTCGTGCGCCATTTTTCTTTCACTACACGTCGCTGTACCCTTTGTCCTCCGCCGTGCGCTTCTCTTACTCTCTCTTTCTTTCTCTCTCTCTCTCTCTCTCTATATATATATTTATTCATTTATTTATTTATAAATTCATATTTATAATATATATATATATATATATATTTATCGTAATGTCAATAATAATAATACTATCAATAACTAATGAGGATGCTGGTGACGATGACGATGACAACGATGAGGATGGTTCACGATTTGCGAACAACAGCTAAACGTGTCTTTCTCTCTCTTTCACACACACACACACACACATACATACGCACATACTTTCGCTCTCTATTAAATAATCCCTATTTTTTTAATACGATAGACCACATTAGGATCGTCCGCATCGCGCGAACCAGGAAGGCGCTGCGAATGTACCATTCTCTCTCTTTCTCTTCTCTTACGCTCAACAACGTCGACACACGGATCCATATGGTGCGTTACATGGGGTGTGTGGGAGGGAGGGGGTGGGGGGAGAGATTCGTGTTAGCCGGTGCGCGTTCGCGGGAATACAACGAAAATCGGTGGATGAAATCGCGCCGCGTTGATCGTTCTCGCGATTCGCTAACACTCGAATAGAGAGAGAGACTCGGTGGGATTGAAAACAGACGGATAAATGAGAAATGCCCTTAAAATAGTATCGCGTACGGGGGGGGGGGGGGAATCACTTGGTGGCGTCCGCCGATGCGGACATGAGGTTCCAACGAAAAAACCGACCGATCACGCGCGCACGGCTGGCAGTAGTAACGTGTTCACGGATCTACAGATCGCCGGTAGAAACCGGATGCTGACGCGCCGACGATAATTTCAACCGATCGAATACCGAGACATTGAGGTTCGGTCGTACCGATAAATAGTAACTATGACTGTGACTAAAAATAATGAATCGTATATATATAATATGTATATATATATATATATATATATAGATTTTTTTTTTTTTTTCATTATAATAGAAAAGTCTCGCGTGCAGGCTGACACACGCGAATTCACTACGTATACGCGTAACGTGCTATACAGATAGGTATTACACCCTTTGAGGGTCGTGCGCCCCTGACTCGACTGGCCGTGACTCGACAGACGTCTCCTTATTGCAACAACGTCCGTTTCGTTATTCCCTTTCTTCGCCCGTGGCCAGGGAAATGGATAAGAAAGCTCTTTTCGCGGACGAGCGACTTTTGTGAAATTTCGGCCGGAGAGGATGTTCATTGTCGATGACGCGTGTTCGATTTCGCGTGTGCAGTTTCGCGAAAAATATCCGCCGCGCGGATTTTCTCCGGAAACCTGGCAACATTGTGCACTTGCTTCGTCTTTCAACAAAACGCAGCGTCTTTCATCCTCGAAGTAACATAGAAAACTTTGGTTTTTTTTTTTTACGATCTCTACGATCTCCTCGTTCCTCTTTTTTTCTTTCTCCCCCCTTCTTTGTAGAAAGTTCCTTCGCCTGCACACGTTTCTCAGGGGATAGTCTCTTTCTTCTCTTTCTTCGGTTTCTCTTTTTTCTATTTTTTATTTTAAGCTCGCGCGAACACTGCCCCTCCCACCGAGAGCGTACGGATCGTTACGAGCTTAAGAGTCGTAGAGATTCTTCGCGACTCCGTTCCCTTAGTCCTCCTCTTCGCTCTCCTCTGCCGGCCCGTACATGTCGGCCAGCTTGTCGAATCTCGGCCCCCAAGCGCCCAAGTACTCGTACTCGTGCTGCTCGTCGTCTGTACCTGTTGATTATTTCAAAATAACGACTCGTTCTCGCGTTGGCTCGCTCGTGCGACTCGAGCGGAAACACGTACCGGAAGCTAACGATGACAACGAGCCAGCGATACTTCCGCCACCCTCGTATGCGTAATTTCGTAGATCGTCGAACGGCGGCGCGTTCGGATCACTGTCAGCTCTCTTTTTATGGTCTTCTATGAAGATGCCCACGTTTGGCTCCGGTCCTAGTGTGTCTGTAAATTGTATTTGCAATCAGGCGAAGACAAGCAAGCATCTTAGAAGCATGTTAGACCGGACAAGACAATGTAGAAGAAGGTATGTAACGCGTGAGAGCGTAGAGGGTTGCTTACAGGGTATTTTACACGGTGGTAGCTTGCCACCCATATCTGGTATCGGGCCACCGATAGGAATTTGAAGCGGGGTAATGTCGAACGCGGTCATGTCGTCCTCTCCGCCGCCCTCGTCGTCGTAGTTGATGATATTTTCTCTCACGTCGTCGTCGGGCCCGGGATACTTGATGTGAGATTCTCTTCTTCTGTTGTAGACGACAAATACTAACACGAGAACTACAAACGCAAGACGGATGTCCCGTTAGTCTCTCTTGAGTCTTCATTTTTTTTTTTTTTCTTTAATGCATCTGGTTTACACGATACCTACCAAGGATGATCAAAAGGCAAACCAAGATGGCTGCCAAAGCTCCCATACTGAGTTTCAGTGTCTGTCCCTCTTGAACAAGCTCGCAGTTCTCACCCCAGAAACCGTCCGGGCAGATGCATCTGTATCTGAAGTGTGGATCCTGATTGATACATCTACCGCCGTTCAAGCAGGGATAATCTATGCACTCGTTCTTGTCCATGCATCCTTTGTTATCGGGCGATGGAATCTTTCCTTCTCCACATCTGAGAATTTAGGCAATGCAGAATTTTTCAAGTGCAGGGTATTTTCTTTCTTTTTTTTTTTAATTTCAATTTTTCGAGAGTTTATATATCTCTAGAATACACAAGTTTCAATTTAAAAATTCAACGTTGACTTTCCTGCAATGTTATCGCAAAATCAACAGCATGATTTGTTGCGTTTCTTTTTTTGGAAATATCTTCCTGGGACATAGAGATCGTGTTCCACAATTTTCACAATACTCACGTGCAGTCGTACTCGTTCCAAAGATCGATGCATTCGAATGGCTCTGGACAAATGACATTGGCGCAAGGTTTGTTCGAGGGGCAGTTCCTCTCCAAGTTCCTCGCCATGGTTGCCTGACCCCATTGCGTTCCGTTCATGGCTGGTGGTAATGGAAGATGCTTGCCCTCTAGCCTTATGTCATCCAGACATCCTGTTTAAACAAAAAAACATTGCATCGTCAAAACAGTTGATTGATGTTGATTAACTTATTGAAATATCATCTGGTAAAACGTTTTACCTTTTTGATAATCTGCATACACCTCGAATGTCCGAACCCCAGTGTACTCAGCCTTGCCACCCGCGAAAACTCCCTCCTGTTTGTCAACCAATAACCACTGATGTCCCTCGAACGAGAAGGTCTCGTTGAATCTTCTCCCTTCACCACCGTCTAACTCCAAGGTCGCAGCCGATCCGTATCTTGACACTCTAACTGTATGCCACTGTCCGTCGTCGACAGCTATCGCGGTCAGCCATATGTCTCGTTCCTCGGTCCTCAGGCTGTTCAAATTGTACCGGAAGTGCAGTCTACTGTCCTTGATCTAAAAATCAAAAGCATTTCGTCTTCGTGATTAAACAAAGAATTCCACTTTTATTTCCATTACATACAACAATTGCTACGAACTCTGCACTATTTGTAACTTTAATTTAATCCACGAGAGAGACAAATTTAAAGTTTATTTGATAAAAAGTTAAACCGATTGATTGGAAATCTTCAACTATCGCCATTGTGAATAGAATTGAAAATACTAAAACTTCCGATGAAACTGATCTGAGAAAATTAAACGTATCATTCCTAACATAGAATAATTATTCGTTGAAATTCGTCCAATTTCTAATTAAAATTAAAATAATATAAAAATTATTCCATACACCACGTAATAATATTAATTAATATCACTATGAATTCATGGACAAGTTAAATGCAATGTTACTTTACCTCCAAGATGGCGTACTCTCTGTTATGCTGGTCGCTAACTCTGAACAGCTCGCCGTGGACCTCTCGGGTGCGGAATCTCAGCTGAACCTGCGTGGAATATTTGTCCGGCTCGAACGACAACGCGTATTTCACGTAACTCTGTGGCTTGAAAGTCGTCGGTATAGTGGGCGTCATGCACCCTGGACCGGTCCAGCCCGGGTTGCACTGACATCTGGCCTCGGTGAAGCTTCCCACGCAGGTGCCGTGCTCCCAGCAACGGAACGTGGACTCCTGGTTGTTGCAGATCTCCTCGGTCTGAGGACAGCCGGCCACGCTGTTCCTCGACAAACCGGGGTGAGCCAGGTCGTAGAGCTTGCTGTTGTGGAACAGATTCTTGATGCAACCGTCGAAACCCTTTCCAACTGGCATGTGCTTCCACTTGTAGTGGGTCGGGTCGAATTGCTCGACATACAGGCCGCCGATTTGTAGCGGCGCGTTAACGTTTAGGTACTCGTTGAAAGGCGGTATCGTGCCTTGTGCCTGGCAGCTGGTGTCGTTGAATTCCGGCGGCGTGCCGTCCTCCGGTTCCGAGATGTCCGCGGACTTGCAGTAGTCGATTATCAGTTTCACAGTCTGCGAAGATAGAACAGTTGCTTTTAAGTACGCTTCCCCCTTTCGTTTCACGCGTTCTCTCGTTGAAATTCTCACCTCCGTGTTCCAGAAGATGTCGAGTCTGTGCCACTCGCCGTCGTCCAACGTTCGTTTCGGCTTTACCTTCAGCTCCAAGGTACCGGAACCGAAGTCTATCAGTAGTCGAGGTATCCCACGTTCCAGTTCGACGGATATAAAATCTGCAATTACAGAATAATTGTCACCGCGACAGTTCACCGGTCTTACTTACTATCGTGGAAAAATTTAAAAAGCCTCTCACCAGAAACCATAATTTCGTCAGGCTCCGGAGGAACAATAGGGCCGTTGTACAGCAGCGACCCGTCTGGCTTTTTAGTGATGAACTCGAAGCTCAGGTGGCTGTTGTCGCACATTTCCAGCGCTGGGTACCAAGCCCATCCATTTCCACGGAAGCTTCTCGCCGTTTGCTGACATCGCGGTCCGTTGTATCCGGCAGGACATTGACACCTACGAAATGAAAGAACGTCTTGTAGCGGTCACAGTATAATATATAATATACCAGTGTATACTCATAATATAATATAATATAATATAATATAATATAATATAATATAATATAATATAATATAATATAATATAATATAATATAATA